AAAAAAAAAAAAAAAAAAAGAAAGAAATAAAGATAAAAGAAACGTATATGTACAAAGTGTATGTACAAAAGAAGATTGAACGCAACATTTCTAAAGAACTGGAAAGAACTTTTGGGACAAATTCGGCGGACATGTAATATCTTGTGTACGTGTAGTTTAATATTTTTTTTTTCTTCTTCCTCTTCTTTTCCTTTTACCAGAAATTTCCTGAATCTCGATAAGATTTGTGGTAGCAAAAATTGGGGCGGGCCGGCCTGTCGCGTCCATTTAAACATCGACAGGTCACCCTCAAGGCGGCGGCACTCGCAAATATCTATTTACAAAAATATACATGAGCAACTTACTTATCCGTTACGCTTGGTATCTCTTTTTCTTTTGTTGTTTTCTTTTCGCGTCTCGTGCAATGAGATGCGAAGTATTTTTATTTTTTTTTTTCGTTTGGTGTTTGTTCTCGTTTTCTTTCGTATTCATTTCATTTCATTTCATTTCATTTCGTTTCTTTTCGTTTCGTTTCATTTCATTTCATTTCGTTTCATTTCATTTCATTTCACTTCACTTCACTTCACTTCACTTCGTTTCATTTCATCTTTTTGTCTCTCCCTTTATAATCGCACTATTTATAATATAGTGTATGCATTATGTATAATTATCTGAATATTTCTTTTCTTTAATTCTCATCGCTAGATTCTCTACTTATTTCCCCGGTTAATTCTAAATAATGTAAATAATATGTATTGGTTGTTCTGTTTTTTTTTCTGTTATCGTTTAACTTTGTTTTTCCTTGTTGCGTATTAATTATCTAATCTAAATTATTTTCTTACGAATCACCTTCGTAACCTATCTACAAAAAAGAGTCGTGCCTGTCGTTCAACGACGTCAGACATAATAGTAGTAGTTAATGTTATATCGATTTCGGATCAAAATGTTGATCTTGTTGCTCGCGACGCATCTCCGCCGAAGAGAAATGCATCATCATACTAAATTCTCTCCGTTCCTGTCTCTCCTTCACTTTCTTCCTTCTTCCTCT